GCATAGAGAAACAGAAAGCCCAAACAGATGAATGATGCAACGCCATCAAAAAAATCTGATTTTAACTTCTTTTATGCGCCTGAGCACGTCAGAGATGGTTATTACACAGGAACATGCACGAATGAACGATAAAGGAATGCCCATCCAAAAATCCTGGAAAGTGCAAGAACATAAATCTTTAATAAAGATTGTCTTTGCCACTTCAGCTGTTAACTGCAAAGAATAGAAACTGTGAAAGTTGTCATTATGCTCTGGTTATTTTCTTATTCTTCCTCAGGCGCCCCTGCAAAGTCCTACGTATTAAAGTAGGACAACATTAAAGCACAAGTCGCTACATATTTTTTAATCCCATATCATAAAGTCAGACGGCATGTTAAAATTGTAACCTTCAGCACCTATATGCTGCTATTGTATACGTTTCCGACACTCGATTCCTTTTATAACCCATGAATTTTAAAACCGATCATCCCTAAATTAATCACTGCAGCCGAGAGATACAGCAATTTAACGATTTCTATTTTACTGTTGTTAAATAGCCCCAACAATCAGGGAAAAATAAAGGCACTTAAAAGTAATTATGCAGACTGTAATATAAGAAAATTAACATAAACATTGATGATTATATATGTAATAATTAATTTATTAGTGCTAAATATATAATTTGACTTACGAAGCACACAAGATCCATTAAGACAAACTTCAGTGTAAGTAACAGGCAAGAAATGGAAAATCTGGCCTTATCTATCTTATCATAAATTTACCATGCAGTTAAAGGATAGGACGCATCAGGTTTCTCAATAGAGTACGAAAATGTACCGTCAAAAATGCTCTAATAAGTTCGGCTTTGATGGCGTTAAGGCAGTTTCCATGCACTGGCAAGCATACAACGTCCTCTTTGTCCAAGCAATTGGAGCTGTTTGTTAGACTTCCAAACCAGGACCTTTTCACCAGGCTAAATCGAAGCATATATAAACAAATTTGAAGATCCGCACTTGTAACACACTCGGTAGTGTCTATGACGGTGCCATCGTCCGACGATATATCGCTTGCTAAAAATTAAACACGTTCGGTAAGTTATCATATTAGTGAAGGTTTAAACGAATACTGACAAAACAAAACATCAGACAAACCTTGTCCCAACTCTGGCCTGTCAAAGGTTCAACAAAAGGGATTTCAGTACACACACACACACACACACACACACACACACACACACACCATTCTTTCCTTAATGACGAGTGGGTAGGAAATCATCCCCTCATCCAAGCAAAAGCATTTAAACATGAATCACGTATAAAAAACATGCTTTTGTAACAATTCTATTTGAATAAAAGATACAGGAAAATTGCTTTCATAAATAAACTATACTGGGAAAGCTGCGGAATCAAGGGATTTAAGAGAAAAATTTAATGTTACGTGTGCAAATTCATCAGTAACAGGAATTAAAAGTTTAATCGAAAGATTTCGACTTGAAAAGTGGAAGCCTCTCAATCTCCATGTACGTCACAATCTGGGGATAATGAATTCTGATATAGTAGAATGCAGCTTAAAAATGCAGTTTAGAGAATGATGCCGTTTCTTTTAAGGTATACTAACAATTAAATGAAAGTGTAGACTAGACTCGTTAAATCAGCATCGAAACAATAATTCTTTCTTAAATTGCCATACAAATTCAAACTCTTGAAATTCTCATACAATTATAAATCATCGCTTCGACATATTGACAATTATATCGTTTTATAACTGATCGCTTACTCGTAAACTAATTTAATTTCTCAAACGTGTTGCTGATTTAATTGTCAAATTATCTAAGCCAGTTAATGATTTCGAAACTTTCGGATTCCATCTTCGATATATGCATCGCTGATTCGGTTGTACAGCATATATAACTTGCGCTGAAGTCGTCATTTGTACTGTCGGCCAGCGCAAACAATCAACCACTGTTCCTTCTTCGTACGTTAACGGAGGCACCACTGTCGTATGCTCACATTCGTCTATCTCGTTCAAACTGTAGACACCGTTTATACGGATTCATACTGTAAAACAAGCGAAAACTCACAAAGTCTACTTTCCCAAACGAATAAAATTTCACAAAAAAACTATTTAATCAACATGGACTGCATATGTTCAGTCTATCGTTTGACAGCAGGTACTTAATTCCACCAAGCCTGAACGGCCTCATCTCAGAGGATCAAAGTTCCAAAAGTGGTCTCAGAAGAGAGCCTGCAGAAAAACGATACCAAGACAAGGAAAACCTAAGAAGATGCCTTATTGTCACTTACACATTTTCCTCCGATGAAATCGTGGTGTTCCCATGAAGGTACTTCTGATGTTTGTCAGTTTTGATTTCCACTGCTGAAGCTGTTGCCCTGTCAGAGGAGAAGGTGGCGGCGTATTTAGCACGGCTAGACCAGAAGTAACGCCGGAAGTCGCTTTTCCATTGTCGTACCTTTTCGTATTAGAACCAAGCGGCGGTACCGATATCGGGGGACTCACATAGCAATTACGTTGATTGATAACAATGCGGCGGGTGGCCGAGTTTCTGGCAGATCTAACAGGAGACAGGTTAGGTGATGAATCCCCTTCACCTCCGGTACTATGATGTCTTATTCGTCTAAAAATACCACAAGTCAAGCAGAAAACGATAAACAAAAACCATGAAACAGCTTCAAAAACAAAATTTCTCATCATGAGGATCTCCACAGTAGTTTATGCGATAAAACACAAGTTTCAATTACATAAACCCATGCAAAATGATTTTAAAACAGTTGGCCGAGAGAATATTGATTCGAGGTCATACTCTGAAAATGGACCTTGTATAATAACTAAAACCCTAAGAGGATGGTAGCAACACAGCTACTTTCGCATCAAACTGGAACTGATTCGCATGTAATCTGCAGAAAGAGTCACTTATAGCGTTGCATTTACAGCTACAATGCTAAACTGCCAGTTGATACCAGCTACGATGGGCGAAATGACGAGTGTACGACATAGGGGCATATGTCTCTGGTAACAAGTCCAGCAAGTAACATACTATACCTTATATCGAAATTATCTTGACAGTGAAAGTACTGAAGAAACTAGACACTGTGAATGAAGTGATCCAATATGAATAACTCCGCTGCTTTAAACATTAACATACCCGCTAAATCTTTTGCGAACGTTCACCGGAGAGCCCTCGCTAAGAATTCCAACTGCATATCTACAATAAGAGACTGTCACACTGTATGAGACTGTATTAAGTATACCTCGCACTACTTGTTGTGTCCGTTCTTTTACGCGGAGGGTCGAACCCATTTTTGCAGTGTCTCTGAATGACTTCTACATCATCGTCACATGCCGGTTTTCTATGTTTCCGGTCTAGCAAAATGAAATACACCATTTTTTCTGTATTGTGCCTAGAAAGAGTACTCTCATAAGCAATAAATAAAGCATGGATTTGAATTATTTGCTGGTTTCTGCACAATTAAAAAAGAGAAAGCACGCAGGCAAATTGAAGCGCTAAAAAAACTAATACTACCATAATTATCTCGTCTTATTCATCACGCATTTCCCATGACAAGCAGCTTCACAGCAATAAATAGTCATGCATTTTATACAAACGATTCTCCTTCTTACACTTGATTTTCTACAGTTAAAAAGAAATATACCGAGTTATTCAAAAAAATGTGCTTAGACAAAATTGTGATTACTGACAAATTGCCGGTTTCAAACATTTCAACTACGAAAATCACAATTCTTCCACAGTACAATCTCTTAAGGGCTAATACATAAGAAAGGTCTGTGAAAACTTATGACCACTTATGACCAAAGCTTATGAAAGAAACGCAAAAGCGTCCTATGACCCATGGCTCAGAAGGTCAACGTCAGAAAGGCTAAAACCATTTTCGAACATGAACATTTTCGCTAAAAGAATGATCAGAAAATTTGAAAATGCATTTGAATATTCCAATCCATTTTTTAAAGGTCATTATGACCTATAATGCTCACGAGTCGACACGCCATAAATCTGATAAATTTTGAGAGGCAAATACTCAAACATTTATAAGTATCCAGATATTGCTTCAGATGCAACATCTGACAACGACGTCAGTAGCAAAATCAGCACAAATGATACGATATGTTTACTAAATGTTTTAGAAGAGTATTCAATTAAAGGCATTTGCGTACTTTGGATTGAGCAGCTCCTGAATAAGCTTTTCGCTGTCTCTGAAGCACCCTAAGCTGTTCATATGCCGAAAAACATCAGGGTCTATATTTTCTTCAGAAGGAATGACATGTGTCTAAACCGAAAAAACAGCTTTATTCATCATGAAGCTGAAGACTCACCTGCACAAGCTGAGCCATGGGTAGCTCTTGCTCAGGTTCAAACTTTGAGTTCCTAAATTAATTCAAGATGTATACGTTATTCAATTCAATAAAGAAATCTTGCGCATAAATTTTGGAATGCTCATAAATGTGAAGAATGTGCGTATCATCGACATTACGCTCTGCAGCAGGGGCAAAAATCCTTAAACTTCTCTGACGTCCGCCGGACTACAAGCGTATTAGTGTTAGTAGCACTTTTCATTGTTTCTGCTAGGAAATATCCCGAAGAGATTTTAATACTGTGGGAAGGCTGCCTTTCGACGTTCGTAAGTTGGCCTCTGAGGAAGCGGTTATCATGGTTGGGTTCTCATAAAATAATCTAAGTGACTGATGCTATGCCTTTGCTTATTGTTCTATCACACAATGCGACTAGTGGCTCCTGCAGCACAAATGTGACGCAACGTGAGTTATTCGAAGATAGCCTAACGTTGGAAATGTCAAGGATATATTCAAAGAACCATAAGTAAAATAAACACAAACAATAACGGTAACTGCTTTTTTTCTAGTGTGTTCCGTTTAGCAGGGATTTACTAATCGAGTCAACCTCGTCCAAAATTTTCTCTCTTCGATTAAATCTTCGGTGACTCTTCCCAGTTTCATATCCCTTTGGTCTTCCCTTTCATTTCTTCCTTGGCAGCATCAGCGTTTAGGCGAAATTTCCAACGTACTCGATGAGTCTTCTTTTCACGAGACTGTAACAAAAAGAAACAAAACCTGCTTTCGATACGCTTTCCTGCAGTTGGTGCTACGCCAAGAGTAACTCTTATGAAGCAGCTTCGGATGTTATCCTTTCTGCCGACACCACACATCCATCTAAGCGTTCGCATTTCTGCTATGTTCAGCTGTCTCTCGTGTCGCTTCAGGGTAGTCAAACATCCCGCTCCGTACAGAAGCACCGGTCTTACTCTAGTTATGTTCACCTTCCTTTCAATTTGATAGCAATCTTCTTGTGGTACGATACTCCGCTCACTTCTCTCCGTCTGAACCAAGCTTTTTTCGACAGATTTCTTATCTCGCAATAGATTTCCGCTTTATCTTCCAAGGTAGTTGAATTCTTGGGTAAGAAGCAGCTTGCCACCCGCTACCTTCTCTGGTTTGACTGTCACCAGTCTGTTCGCCACAATGAAATAGCCCACAACATATTCTGTCTTGTCTTTGCTGAGTCGAAGGCCGTTCTTCTCAAGTGCTTTTCTCCATGCTTAGGATTTTGATTCTACAAATTCTCTGCTTTCGCTGCATAGCACAGTGTCATCTGCATAGAGCATGCAGTGTAGAGATGGTTCGTGCAGGTCCTCGGTTATCGCGTGTGTCAGCACAGAGAACAGAAATGGGTTCAGTGCGGATCCTTTGTGGACTCCTACCCGTACAGGGAACTCTTCTGTTTCACCGCATGTACTTCGAACAATCGTTGTCACGCTGTCGTACACTTCTGTGGTAGGCCTTACATTTTTCTGGCATCAGCTTCTATTTCATATTCCACCAAAATCGTCGCCTCAGAATTCGGTCCAAAGCTTTCTCTAGGTCTAGGAACACTA